TTATTACAGAAAATACAAACTGTATGGTAGCCTCATTTTGCTGGATGAATCCTACATTATAAACAAAATTGTTGGATGGTTGTAGGATAAGCATTGTACTGTTTTGTGTCTGAAGGTACTTGCAATTAACACAGGGTTTAGATAAATGAAGAAGTCTCATATCTCCAGGGTATTTTATGCCATGCTGTCATCAGAATTAATCAAGATGTTAATGAATACTCAGATTACAAAGAGATGCGAACGCTCAGTATGAATAATTATTTTTAGAGATCATAATCTAGGTCAAATCTAATTTCCTGGTTTTGACAGGTGGCAAAAAAATTATCAGATTAATGGAATGGGATGTGTGATAGCTAGGCAATGAAGAGGAGGGAGAAGAAAGGGCTTCTCCATTCTTTCTAAACCTGGATGATGTGGAAGAAGAGGAATAGATCCTATTTAAATAACAGATTCTGATGCAAAATACATCAGAAACAGGGAAGAGTTGCTGCAGAAGAAAAGCAGAATGGTATGTGCCAAGGAGGCTTTCAGCAAGAATTCTGAGACTCATGGACAGCATCTAACACCTACTGATGTCAATGGAAAGACTCCTTGTAAGTACAGTGAGTTTTGGACAGGCTGGTGTGCACCATCTTGGGATGACCAAGCTTAAAGGTTCTCTGCCCCATTTGTCTTTATCTTGGACTCTAGTCTTCAGGGCTTCCTCCCAAGCCTGCAGTCACCTTGAAGAGGATGCTGAAGTAGTGTAAAGCCCAGTAACTAAATTGGTGGCAAATCATAGTAAAGGAACATAATGCAGAATCTGAGATAAAAATAGCAAAAGAAGAAAAGATAAATATTGTGCTCATTAAATACATACAAGGCAAACAAACAGGTCCAAGAGAAATTAGGAGTATTGACAGATAAGAGTGCAAAGTGAGTGATGGATGAACCTTAATATTCCTGCAGGCCTAAATGATTTCTTTGCCTCAGAGAAAAGGGGTGAGAGTGAAATCTTAAAAGCTTCTCTCTCATTGCCCTGGAGCAGATAATAAGGGAAAATAGATCTGCTGAAAGTAAACAAAACTAGCAGGCTCAGAATTCACAACAATATATCATGGAAACACTTTTAAAACTTCATTCTAGACTGGAGTAAAATCAAGGGCTGGATAACATACTTTAAAAAAGGGAAAAGACAGACTAGCAGGAGCACGGAACCATCAAACACACAGGACAGAGAAACCATCTAAAAGGAACAGTCCAGTTTAGGAAGGCACAGTCAGCAAAGATCCATGAAAAGCGTGCTCATGCTTGACATTGCTGTTCAAATTATACACCTCAGTGGTTCCTAGCTACCACTGTATATCCCCAGTACTGGTGCTTTTAGACCCTTGTAACTGGTAATATAAGCTCCTGGTCCCCACCTTGATAAAACTATGTACTAGGCCCTGGATTTAGCTGCTCACACCTTAATCTGCAATGGAGCAATAGCTGTTCCATAGCTGGTATCATGATCACGGGAACAGTCTGAGCACCATTACGCCTAGTCTACACTACCGGGGGCTGTCAATCTAAGTTACACAAATTTGGCTATGTGAATAACAT